CCAAGAAGGAGGACAGGAGAAAATTGTGGTTGTAGGAGCTGCCCTTTTTTGTGGTATTTTCAATGTTGGACCTGATTTCCTCAATTTCTTTGAGCAGTAATTACTGTTTGATACATTGTTGCATTGTTTTGGAACTTTGGGGAAAACCGATCAAAACAACAACACTTTACAACAAGAGGCAGAGCAGGTACCATGTGGGAGGTGGAAAAAAAAGCAGTGAACCTGCAAGTCTGCCTGACCAGGCAGTGACCTTTCACAACTTTCTGACCAGGCAGTGAACCTTTCATAACTAATTGCCTGTGTTGTTTAGCTTCAAGCATCTCTGGACATCTGAGTTAGGTCTAAGAAAAATAAACAGTGAAATTCACAGCTGACCTTGGAGAAACCTCAGTATGGGGAGCTCACAGCAAGGAAACATCCAAATTTTTTTTCAAAGTCTAAGCATACTCTTTTTTGTAAATCTACAATGAGGAGTCAGGTTTTTTTGTTTATATGATTTATTGAGATCTGTCTCTGGATTAAACTTTTTTAAAATATAAAACATAGATACCAAGCTACCCTAGAGCAGTGTTCTTAGAGCAGTGAGACTGTATATTGTTAAGGCACAAAGATGGCCTTCAGTAGAGTGATGTGCTCTTCTTGTTGGAATGGGAGATTAGGGGGAATTTCAATGTTCCTGATAATTTTGTCTGTAGGAACTGTGTTTGGTTACAAACCTTATTGGATTGCAACGATCAGTTAGAGTGGCTGTTAGGGGCGATGAGGAATTTACAGGAGCTGGGGGTGTGATGGATGGCAGTTTCAGGAAGGGAGAAAAACCGCAGAAAGTCGGGTAGATGGATTACCTCCAGGATAGGTAGGAGAGGGAAATGTAGCACTGATGGCCAGGTATCTGGTACTGAGACTGGCTCTAATGTAACGAGGGTTACATCAGGTTCCAGATTATGATAGGGGACTCTCTAGTCATGGGTAAAGACAGACATTTCTGTGGCCGGTAATGAGGCTTCAGAATGGTGTGTTGCCTCCTTGGTTCCAAGGTCAAGGATGTCTCGGAGAGGGTACAGAATAGTCTCAAAGGGAACAGAGACCATGTCGTTGTACATGTTGGAACCAACAACATAGGAAGAGAAAAAGACGAAGTTCTGAAGAGAGATTATAGGAAATTAGGCAGGCATTTAAAATGTAGGTCCTTGACTGTAGTACTATCTGGATTACTCCCAGTGCCATGAGCTAGTATGAGAAGGAATAGGAGGATAGAGCCGATGAATGGGTGGCTGAGGAGCTGGTGCAGGGGAGAAGGATTTACATTTTTGAATCATTGGAATCTCTTCTGGGGTAGAAGTGACTTGTATAAAAAAGAGTGGATTCCATTTGAATTGGAAGGGGACTAACATACTAACATAAGTAAGCAGGCAAACCAGGACACCACCATGAAATTACTAGATCTGTGCCTCACAACCCACTTCATCTTCAATGATGGCATATACAAACAAATCAACAGAACACCAATGGGATCCCCAATATCAGGACTGATTGCAGAAGCAGTAATGCAAAGGTTAGAATGGACAGTACTCCCCACTATACAACACAAACTGTGGGTACGATATGTAGATGACACCTTTGTGATTATTAAAGGCACTAAACTAGAAGAAGCCCACTGACACATAAACAACAACCTTACCAGGATAAAGTTCCAAAGAAGAAAACAAAAACCGACTTACCTTCCTGGACATAATGGTAGAACGCAAAAACAACGGAGAACTCCAGACTAGTGTACATAGAAGACCACACATGCGGACCAGATACTCAATTACACTAGGAACCACCCCAACGCCCACAAACGGACCTGCATCAGGACACTATTTAAATGAGCCACAACACACCGCAGCAACCCGGAACTACGCAAAACAGAGTCTTCAAAAGGAATGAATACCCAAAAAGCACAATCCACTGTTACCTCCGAGACAGACCATAACAAGAAGACACAACACGACCAGAATCACTTTTCACCCTACCATACATCCAGGACATTTCAGAGATGACCACAAGACTACTCAGAGCCCTAGGTATCAGAGTAGCCCACAAACCGACAACCACCCTATGACAGCTACTGACGAACATAAAGGATCCCATACCCAAAACCAGCAAAACTGGGGTAATATACAAAATACCATGCAAGGACTGTCAGAAACATTACATAGGCTAAACCAGAAGAAAATTGACTATATGGATACATGAACACCAACTAGCCACCAAAAGAAACAACCAATTCTCACTTGTCTCACTACACATGGACAAAGAGGGACATGAATTCGACTGGGATAACACATCCATAATCACACAAACCAAACAGAGACATGCCAGGGAGTTCCTGGAGGCCTGGTATTCCAACCAGAACTCCATCAACCAACACATTGAATTAGACCCTGGGTACAAACCACTGAGAAACAGAACCGGAAGTAATGCTAACCACCCCAGCAAACTGAGGCATATAAATAACAAGTGGGACAGAACACCAATGCTTCACCAGAGGCGTACTGATGATGTTACCTAGCAGGGTGAGGAAACGTTTGCAACCAAACCCATCGGCTCGGTGAGCATGTCTACAACCTCATCCACAACCCGAGCTACAAATCTTCTCGAAAACTAACATACTGCTGGGGAGATTTGCTAGAGCTGCTCGGAAAGATTTAAACTAGCAAGTGGGGGATGTTGGCACCCAGACAGACAGTGAGAAAAGGGGCCAGTCTGAGGCTGGTGCAGTTGAGAAAAGGAGCAAGTCAAACAGTCAAGGCAGGCAGGAACAAAGCAGAGAACGAGGTAGGACTGATAAATTAAACTGCATTTATTTCAACGCAAGAGGCCTCATAGGTAAGACAGATGAACACAAGGCATGGATGGGAATACGGGACTGGGATACCATAGCGATCACAGTGATGTGGCTCAGGACAGACAGGACTGGCAGCTTAATGTTCCAGGGTATAGGTGCCATAGAAATGATAGAAAAGGGGGACAACAGAGGAGGGGGAAGCAGCATTTTTGATGAGAGTCAACATTATGGGTGTACTTCGGGAAGATATTCCAGGGAGTATGTCCAGTGGAGTTATTTGGGTGGAACTGAGTAATAAGAAAGGGAGGATCATCTCATTGGGATTGTACTATAGACCTCCTGATAGTCTGCAGGAAATTAAAAAGTAAATTTGGAAGGAGATCTCAGTTATCTGTAAGAATAATAGGGTGGTAATGGTAGAGGATTTTAACTTTGCAAACATAGACTGGGACTGCCAAAGTGTTAGGGAATTGAATGGAGAGGAATTTGTTAAGTGTGTACAAGAACATTTTCTTATTCAGTATGTGGATGTACCAACTAGAGAAGGCGCAAACTTGACATCCTCTTGGGAAATAAGGCAGGGCAGGTGACTGAGGTGTCAGTTGGGGAGCATTTTAGGGGAAGTGATCATAATTCTATTAGTTTTTAAAATGGTCATGGAAAAGGATAGACCTGATCTAAAAGTTAAATTTCTAAATTAGTGGAAGGCCAATTTTGATGGTATTAGGCAAGAACTTTCAAAAGTTGATTGGGGGCGGATATTCTCAGGTAAAGGGATGGCTGGAAAGTGGGAAGCCTTCAAAAATGAGATAATGAGAGACCAGAGACAGTATGTTCCTGTTAGGGTGGAGGGCAAGGCTGGATGACTAGAGACATTGAGGTTCTGGTCAAGAAAAAGAAGGAAGCATATGTCAATCCCTAGAGAAGGATAAGGGGAGTAGGAGTGTACTTAAGAGGGAAATCAGGAGGACAAAAAGGGGACATGAGATAGCTTTGGCAAATAGGGTTAAGAAGAATCTAAAGGGTTTCTGCAAATACGTTAAGGACAAAAGAGTAACAAGGGAGAGAATAGGGCCCCTTAATGATCAGCAAGGCTGCTTATGTGTGGAACCGAAGGAGATGGATGAGATGCTAAACAAGTGTTTACTGTGAAGGATATGGAAGCTAGAGAACTTGGGGAAATAAATAGTGATATCTTGAAAAGTGACCATATTGACATAGGTGGAGGTGCTGGACATCTTAAAAATGCATAAAGGTGGATAAATCCCCAGTGAGCCTGGCATCAGTCATAAGGAAATTCCAGGGAACTATAGACCAGTGAGCCTGGCATCGGCGGTGGGCAAGTTGTTGGAGGGGATTCTGAGGGACAGAATTTACATTTATTTGGAAAAGCAAGGACTGATTAGGGATAGTCAACATGGCTTTGTGTGTGGGAAATCGTGTCTCACTAACTTGATTGTGTTTTTTGAAGAAGCGATGACAAGGATTGATGAAGGTAGAGCAGTGGACATTATCTACATGGACTTTAATGAGGCATTCAACAAGGTTCTGCATGGTAGACTGGTTAGCAAGATTAGATCACATGGAATACAGGGAGAACCAGCCATTTAGATGCAAGATAACAAGGTGTAGAGCTGGATGAACACAGCAGGCCAACCAGCATCGTAGGAGCAGGAAGGCTGACGTTTCGGGCCTAGACCCTTCTTCAGAAATGGGGGAGGGGAAGGGGGTTCTGAAATAAATAGGGAGAGAGGGGGAGGTGGATAGAAGATGGATAGAGGAGAGGAGACAGATAGACAGCAATGTGGTTGACTCTTAACTGCCCTCTGGGCAATAAATGCTGGTCCAGCCAGTGACAACCTCATCCCATCAATGAATAAAGGAAAAGAAAGCTTCAAGTGAGGCTTACTTTGACTGGAGAATTGTGTGCTTTCACGATAAGTTGTTTAGAGTTTGATCAGTAGTACCACAGAGAACGAGCCTGAGGCCCACGTACCAAGACTACAGACCCCGAAGGGGAGAATGAGTACCTCAGCTGAGAGGACATTCACCTCCGGAACCTTTCGCCTAGGTTGCAGTCGGTAACATGAGGCGGACGGACGCGATTAACTATCGCCTCTGTCGGCTGTAGTTTCTGGGTGCTGCAGGCTTTCTCTTCCCCGGAGTGGTTTCCGGGTGCTGCAGGCTTTCTCTTCCCCGGGTTGGGGATAGAGGGGGCCGGTGACCAGGGAGGAAACGGGGAGTAGCAGCAGCAATGGCGACCCGCAGTCTGACCGATGCCTATGTGCTGATGCGGAACCGAGCGGCCCAGAGCCGGCAGCTGCTGGCCGAGCAAGTGAGTACAAAGCCGGGACAGGCTCTGGCCTTGGCCCTGGGCCGGGGCGGCGGCGGCAGCAGCAGCGGCGCTGCGGTGAGTCTAAGTCCCTGTGTTAGTGTGTGAGCCGGGAGAGGGGAGCAGCAAGCTGGGCGGGCAGCCAGGCCTGGCACCGACACTGGGCAATATGACCCATTGAGACAGAGTCTAACCATAATCCTCCAAATCGGAATGTAGGTGTATAGCATTGTATTGGAATATACAGCTATAGAATATTCTATATAACTAGTACATGCTATATATTATAAAATGTATATGTTATTATACAGAATATCATTACAAAGGATCGGGAGTAGGCCATTCGGTGCCTTCAACTGTTGGAACAGTCACAGAGACAGGGGCCAGTTCATTTCATAAGCAACTCACTCAGTCCTGTTTCTTCTTAGCCCAACATTTTCCTTTCTCTGTCACTCTCAGTCACTCTCTCAATCAATCTCTCTTTCCAGATGATCATCTAATTCCCTTCATATAGTCAGGATTGCTTCTGTCTCCACCACAATCTCAACTGGCATCTTCCAGATCCTAACCACCTGTTCCTGAAGAGTTTTTTCCTCCTGTCACCTGTGATTTCTGTTGTCATTCACCTAAAATCAGTGTCCGCTGGCTCTCCCTCTTCCTGCCAATCGGAACAGATTTTCCCATCTGCTGTGTCCATACCCTTTGTGTTTTTGAACCCTTCATGATTTTGAACCACATCTCTCAATATTCTCTTCAAGGAAAACAGTGTCAGTTTCTCCAACTTACCCACATCTCTGCTATCATGCTCTTAAATTTTTTCTGCACATTCCACGTAAAGTGCAATGCCCAATGTTGTAGACAATATTCGAGTTGAGGTTGATCCTAAGTTGTTATAAAGGTCCACTGTAGCATCCTTGCTTTTAGACTCAATGCTTTCACTTATAAAACTTAAGGTTCTGTTTGCTTTATTTCACCACATCCCACCTGCAGTGATTCATCCATATAAACCCCAGATTCCACACCACATCTTGAATTGTATACTTTTTGTTATACTTCCCCTTGTTTTTACTCATACTAGATGTATTTCTCTTTTTTGCATTAAATATCATTTGCTGTGTGTCGGTGTATTTCACCAATCATGTCCTCTTGATTTATTCTGCTCACAATTCATTGTACTCCTGCATTTTGTTATTTGGCACCCCTACTTTGTCCAGTCTAGAAAACAACTGTTCCCCACAACTATTTCCTGTCATGAAGCCAACTTTGTGCACATGCTGTCACTGACCCTTTTACTTTGACTTTGCTACTAAACTTGGACTATAGCATTTTTACAAAGGTGAGTTAAGTAGCAGACGGAGAATGCTTATGAAAACATAGTCATAGTGTCACATCAACGTTGTATTGTCCTGTATTCTCCAATCTCTTCTGTTTACTCTGAACCTTCAACCTGGTTCTCGGTTGTATTATCCATATGACGCACAATATGCATGGTGGCTCGGCGGTTAGCACTGCTGCCTCAGTGCGAGGGACCCGGGTTCAATTCCACCCTCGGGTAACTGTCTGTGTGGAGTTTGCACGTTCTCCCTGTGTCTGCGTGGGTTTCCTCCGGGTGCTCAGGTTTCCTGCCACAGTCCAAAGATGTGCAGGTTAGGTGGATTGGCCATGCTAAATTTCCCACAATGTTCAGGGGTGTGTAGATTAGGTGGGTTATAGGGAAATGGGTCTGGGTGGGTTGCTCTGAAGGTTGTGGACTTGTTGGGCTGAAGGGCCTGTTTCCACACTAGGGATTCTGTGATTTCTATGATATATTTTATTCATTCATGGGTATTGCCTGCATTTAGTGTTAATTCCTAATTTCTTGAGGATAGTTGAGAGTCAGTTATCTTGCTAAGGACGTTAGTGAACCAGATGGTTTATTTTGCAACTATCAATGTGGTCACAGATTATGTACTCCTGGCTAATGTAGTTCATCAATATTAATCAACAGATAATCAACATTATCTGGATATCATTAGGCTAGCTTTTGTTCCAGAATTTTATTGATTTCAAATCATACCATCTAGCATGGTGGGATTCAAACTCATGTCCCTAGATTGTTAGCCTGTGTTCTGTTTTTCAGTCTGCTGACTTGACCATGACACCACATACCCTCTTACTGTTTCATCTTACTAGTTATTTATTTTTTATCATCTGGGAACTCTGACTTTATTTCTGCTACCTTATCCCCTTGTGGAAATGGACTGTGACTGTACCTATACCATCTCCTCTTCACATTGTTACACTGTTTTGTATGTCAGTCTTTTTGATTTAGGTTCATTTTCACTCCATTGAAGATGTTCCTGTTCCAATTAATTATTGTTCCACTGAATTGTTCCCTGTCTTTCTCCATAGATAAAGTAAATCTTGTGATACTACAGCCATGTCTCATAAGCATTCTCCTCCTGGCACTTGTACCATCTCATTCCCTAGATCCAGATCAAGCATTTGAGTACTTGGCGTGACACTTATGACAGTTCACATGCTCATCCACATTCTTTGTAATGTTTGTGATGTTTCCCATCTTGCCCAGGGTGAACTATTTCAGATTCTCACCATCTTCCGGGTGAAAAAAAATTCCTTAAATTTCCTCTAAACATCCTGCCTGTCACCTTACAAATATGCCCCCTTGTTTATATATATATATATATATATATATATATATATATATATACAGCTTTGATTGGGGCTTTTATTTTGAAAGCACATGTTTAGTGGTTTAATTCTGCTTTAACAATGGTGTAACTAATAACTTATGAAAATTTGAGCAAAGTTGCATTTCCCTTCCATGGACCCTATAATTTGTAGAAGTGGCAGAGTGCTTTTTCGCTCGAGTCCATACACGCGCGCACACTATAAGGTAAAGGCGATTTACTGTGCAAGGTGATTTGCAAGTAACTACACTTGCTGGGAGTAGGTAACATATTAGGAGCAGGAGCAGGAGCAGGACATAGAGGTCCTTATACCTGACCCACCATTACATAAAATCATGGCTGTTCTGCCCCAGGCCTCAACTCCTCTTTCACGCCAGCTCCTCATAGCCCTCAACTCCTCTATTCCAAAATTTATCTGCCTCCCTTTTAAATACTTTGTGTTCTAGTTTCCACAACTCTTCACTGCTCTTCAGGAAAATAAATTTATTTGCACCTCCGTTTTAAACAAGCGTCCCTTACTCTGCAGCTATGTCCCTTAGTTCAAAATTCCTCCACATTTATGTTTCAATTCATTATTTGGGACTTCAGTAAATAGATTCCGAGTTAACATCATAATGATATCCCAGACCCAAGTTTTTTGAAAAATTATATCAAACAGTAAATTAAGATTTTTGGCCTCCTATTTTGTAGTGTTAGGGAGAGTTGGTTGAGAGTTGAAACTATCCATGTGTGTAGTGTGATGATACTATGGCTTTGAGAGGTGTATTTTGTCCTGGTTTTCTTTAATGAAGAAAGGTTGAGACAGTGGTAGCGAGCAGTCTGCTCAAAGCCATTAAAGTAAACAGCTTGTGATATCTTGTTTTTTTTTTATATAAGTTGGAACAGTAGAAGGAGCCTGAATGGGTGGGGTCAAGCTTGTACTGAACTAGATTTTTCTTTAGTTTTAGCCTTAAGTAGCAGTTGCTGGGATCTTGAAGCTGGATGTGGAAGCTGTTTTTCCCCTCTCTCTCATAGGTAAAAGCTGAGGTTCTCTTCCTGCTGCTGGACTTGCATGTGAGAGAGTCTATTTTACTGAATTTGCCTTTGCCAAGGATGTGTTTATGGGATGTTACTATATTGGAACAATTACTGTTTAGCAGTTGAACAAACTATCATTCTGTTAAGTTTTCCAATAGAGTTGTTGTTCCAATTTTTTCTTTTGTATTTTAACTATAGTGTAACTAAAAACCAGAAAAAGCCAGAAGTCACATGACACCAGCTTATAGTCCAACAGGTTTATTTGAAATCACAAGCTTTTGAACTGTAGCCCCTTCGTCAGGTGATTTGTGCAGTTCTGGAATCCACATTTTAGAAGGGATGTGATAGCACGGGAGAGGGTATAGAGGAGACTTAACAGGATTTTTTGGGCTAGAGAGCCTCAGTTATGAAGAAAGATTGGACAGATGAGTTTGTTTACTTTAGAGCAGAGGAGACTGAAGGGGGAAGTGTTTGAGATGCATAAAATTATGAGGCGCAGATAGGAAGGAATTTTTCCCTTTGGCGGAGGGATCAATGACCAAGGGGGCATAGACTTAAGGTAAAGAACAGGAGGTTTAGAAGAGATGTGGGGAAACATTTTTTTTCAAACAGAGAATGGTAGGAATCTGGAACACACTGCCTGTAGGGGTGGCAGAGGCAGAAATCCTCATAACGTTGAATAAGTATTTAGCTGTGCACTTGTAATGCCAAGGCAAACATAGCTATGGGCCAAGTGCTGGAAAATGGGATTAGAATAGTTAGGTACGAGACAGTGTAGAGCTGGAGGAACACAGCAGGCCAGGCAGCATCAGAGGAGCAGGAAAGTTGTTGTTTCAGGTCGGGACCCTTCTGCCGAAACGTCAACCCTGTGGTATGCCACTGAACACCAGTCACACAA